AAACTAGCGAAATACGGCTTCAAAGGGATACGTACAAGTTTCTGAGTTAATTAATGTTACAATCTCCATCAGGAATATATAATTTACACGTTGGACAACTATCCGAATTTAAATATCCAAGGATATTTCAAATTTACGTCTAGGTTTAACCTGGAATAAGAGAAAGCAACAGTTTTGAGAAAAAGCCATCGAATTGTTCCTGAATCCTTCGTGAAATGTAAATGTGTGTTTTGAAAGTTGATTGTGTCTTTCTCTTGTAACGAAACGGATCCTTTAAAGCGTCAAAAACCCTTGCAAGTACATCCTTTGTACCACCCGATCTAATTTTTCCAGCGGCAACGTGAGCAAAGGATCGCTCTTACAAGAGGTTGTTTACTAACTTTTTGTCAACATTACAAATAATACACAATTGACACAACATTAATACACTAAATTGACGTAGCAGTAGATCAAACTGTAAAGACAAATTTTGCTACTTGGTCCGTCAAGATGTAGACATTCGATTACCAATTAAACATTTACTTAACTCAAAATCATTTATTCTATTATATGCATAATCATATTTCAACTCATTATTTACACTTTATATATGAAATTACATTTTCATTTAGTAGCACATTTCATATACATATACATAGCATGTACTCTCATATCACTCGTACAAACTCTCAAGCATATTCAGAAGCACTTTATTCTTACATACGTACTATATATTAATAATAGTATTATTAGTACTAGTAATATATATTAATTTATGTCAATTTATAATTGATACATTATGTGTAAGCATACGGATTTTTTCAAATCGAATTTCTTATTATTTTTTTAAAACTGAATTGATGAAACTGTATTGTCATATTCAAGAGTATATCGGAAGGAGACCATAAAAACTGTCTGTATAATGCTTTTGTTCATACTTAAAATATTTAACTGATATCAGCTAGCCTTGTATATGATGAAAACTTAAACCAACTTGAGTTTTGATCATTAAATATCGTCTTGGTCTGCCTAGTCTCCCTGTTTTGCTCTGTGAGACGCAATTCTATATCCTGCTATCTTCAGTAGTAGAATATTTCGGATGAAAGATCTTGCATTTTTGCAGGGCCACTGGATTCGAACCCGAGACCTTTACCTTATAAGCCGTATCAACGCCGTAACCGTTGACTCCCCTTGTAAACTTTTTAGAATAAAAGTTCATCCCAGGTTTTGATTTTAATTGAAATTTATTTGAAAAAAGGTTCAATCAACGAAAATGTATTGAAAAATATTTACTAAATTTTATTTGATTTGATAAAGTTGAAGTTTGTACGTTTCTGAACGTCCAGACCCGTTTTGCTCTGGGATTCTGTATTCTGACATCTTGAGTAGTGAAGAGGATTTGCAAAAATAAACTTATTACATTTTATAATGAACTATTATAGTGTTGAGAGAGCTCCGCGAGAGTACACGACTCGCAAAAATGGCAAAATTACGCAGAAAACAAACACTTTGAGCCCTGAAGATGATCTCAATAAAGATCGAAACGTTGGCACGATAAAGAAAATGTTTTTCTGAAACCCACATCACACCAGACCGCATCTCACGATTTCCGAATAATCATCGACTAACGGTCACTAGTCACATTCATCTCCAAGTTTATCAACTCAAAAATTTCACTTCAATATGTGTTCATTCGTTGAAGTTTTTAAAACAGAGTTCCAAACAAAAATCAACTCCAACGCTGATACCGAATTAGGAAAAGGTTATTTTTTCCAAAGATTTCATGTACTGAAGATGGCAAAATTTCAAATCTGGTCTGTCATAGACAAAGAGGCTAGGTGGACCAAGATTATCATAAAAATTCATCAACTCGAAAATTCGACAATTCAGTGTATTTTCATTCTTTCAACTTAAAAAAAAATAAAAATAAAAAAAAATAAAAAAATAAAAAAAATAGAAACCCAAACATAATTATAATCATTTGGAGGTCGTGAGATGCGGTCTGGTGTGACGTAGGTTTTAGAAAAACATTTTCTTTATCGTGCCAATGTTTCGATCTTTATTGAGCCCTGAAGATGATTTCAGTAAAAATCGAAATGATAGCACGATAAAGAGCATATTTATCTAAAACGTACATTACATCAGAAGCATCTCACGACCTCCAAATAATCATCAAGTAACGGTCATTAAATACCACCCATAATTATAATCCTGGAATAATAGTTCATTATAAAAAGTAATAAGTTTATTTTTGCAAATCCTACTCCACTACTGAAGATATCGGAATACAGAATCCCACAGCAAAATGGCAAGACCGCCTGGAGTTTTAGGAACGCACAAACTTCAACTTTATCAACTCATTAATTCACTATTTTCGTGGTCCGCTTGGCCAATTAATACAAGACAATTAATTAAGGTTTTTAGTTGAGGTGAAAAAAAGTTAACGGCACGAGAGGGATCGAACCCACGACCTTCGCCTAGATACGATAAAAACTATGATAAAAACTCATAAGGTGGGGTTGAGATGGGGAGTTGATGTCCGAGTGGATCGAGGTCGTGATAGCTCAGGTGGTAGAGTAGCGGCGTATCTAGCCGAAGGTCGTGGGTTCGAATCCCTCTCGTGCCGTTAACTTTTTTTCATCTCAACTAAAAACCTTAATTAATTGTCTTTATCAACTCAAATATTTCAAAATTTAGTATATATTTTTTAATATATTTTCGTAGATTGAGCCTTTTTTCAAATAAATTCCAATTAGAATCAAAACCTGGGATGAACTTTTTTTCTAAAAAGTTTACAACGGGGGTCAACGGTTACGGCGTTGATACGGCTTATAAGGTAAAGGTATCGGGTTCATCATCTTTTGTTGAATTTTATCATGTGGATTTGCACTTTAATCGTTTCTGATCTCCCTGGTCTGCCTAGGCTCGCTGATATGCTATGGCAGACGTGATTTGAAATGTTGTACCCTCTTTTTGAAGAATTCTCGAGAAAAAAAACTTTTCATATGAAAATATTATCGCAAGTTGTGAAATTGGTTGGATATTTATTTGTTATTTTATTTTATTTTTTAATTCAATGAATAAACACGTATTAAATGGTGAGATTTTTGAGTTATTATACTTGCAGTTTGTTGTTTCTGATCACATCGATCTGCCCAGACAGTTACCAGGATTTTTTCAACTAGCAACAGGAGTAGTGACGCAAAATAGATTTTTTGGGTTTATTTTATATTATTTTCTTTTAACTTTTGTACGATCGATTTGATACGATCAATTGATAATACTAATGCAGCGTAACATCAGTCTTTAATCATAAACCGTTTGGTATAATAGTTCATGAGTTTAAGGATTAATGATCAATTATCACCACCGACCATCTTGTGTTTCCAACCGTCGAATCCTCATTTTATAACTGAGCACCCTTTAAATTAAGACGGGTTTCAAGTCTGATTGTGAGTAAAAACATTTCACTGTTTAGTTTTGAACAAAGGAGACCGACCATTGTGGCCTGCGTTGAAATGGTGTCCATTTACCTGGATAAAGCTCCCGAGCGGACTGAAAATGACCGTTCCGTAACAACATTAAACGGACTGTCGCCCTGACAAATATTACAACTTCGCGCCCAACATACATATTTAGGAGAGTGAATACTTAATGAACGCCAACGTCTGCCAAATGGAAGTCAGAAGCAAAGTCCACGGACAAAAAATATGATTATAATCTTAATAAAAAATTAATACGTTTTATAGCTTAATTTATATTCTTCTTGATTTATTATTTAAATATGCAACAGTAGTCGCAGTTTTTTTCGCAAGTCACAGTACGTGGTACTCCACTCCATCGTAACCCATTTTTCTTTTATTTAATCTATTTTTTCATTCCGTAAGGTCGTAGGTTTTTTTAAAATTATAATATACAAGTTAAGACGGGTGTTTGTCAGCGAATCGGCGAACCCATGCTGAACCGGCATATTGTCAGCTTCAGTTCACCAATTTCCAGACTTATACAATTACAAAGATTAGGATATGACTGTAAAAAACTAATTAACCCCCATCAAAACAATCATTTGGTCTATTTGGACATACTGAGCAGAACTATGGGGTCAAAGCCAATATATTGCACAACCCATCCAACATTCTAATCAACAATTAATTTCTCTTTTTTATGCAAGGTATTGGTTGAAATGAAAAAGCTAGTGTCACGAACGGGATTCGAACCCACGACCTTTGGTTCAATACGCCGCTGCTCTAACCCGTCAAACAAGACAAACTGCTTTCAAATCCACTTTAACGCCTCGGTCTTTAACTCTTCTAGTTCACACGTCCACTTTTATTAAACGGGCAACCCACTCAGCGCAATTCTTAAACAATTTATCAAGTAAAATTTGAAAATCGATACATTCTTAAATTTTATCCTCTCATATCAGATATTTCAATTGAAATACTTAATTACTTAAGGCTGTTGTGATCAATTATTTAACACACAACGGCCACAAATCGGCCTTATCTAAGGGGGAAAAATTGACCCCCTTCCTTACCATTATCTTCGAAACTCTCTGACAAACTTTTTTCAAATTTGTCACCCTCACATTTTGAGGATGACACTTTCAGTCACTTTTGAAAAGTGAATGGGGCACATTAGAATGCTGAGTGGGGGAAGGTCGAAGGAGGGGAGATGTTGGAGTTAAACTGGAAAAAAGAGATTAGATGTGTTCCAGACTCGATAATGGTTGCTCGAAGCTAAAGTAAATTTTACCATAATTTAGTTACCACCAGGGTGAGTTGAGCGATTGTGGTGTATCGTTGTGTGGTTGCAGGTTGGAGTTAAACGTCTTAGTTACCCTTTGTTATAATTTTGGTTTAGCTTGTATATATATATACGTATTGTAAATATATTTTGTTTTCAGTCGGTTTATTTTCAGCAAGTGTGCTTTGATTTGTTTTATTTTAATTTTCCTCTACTCTTTACTATCCCAAGTTTTAGAAGTGTTGGACCCTTATTTGTCGTGCCGTCGAATGATCGACGTCACACATGTGGTAGCTAGACCATAGTCTGAGTATCGGGTGCCATGGAACCCTGACCGCCTGTGTTCCACCCCAAGACCATCTTCCTTTCTCCAGCCTACAGTTTCAACAGCTAACACCTGCTAAAGGATGTCAGCTGAGCCGGTAAGCCCCTCGCTCAAAGACATGCCGAAGGTCGCCGTCGATCTGAAGACTCAGCTCGAAGGGTTCAACACCGAACGTATGAAGCACACGGACACGGAGGAGAAGAACCCGCTTCCCACTGCCGAAGATGTCGCTATCGAAAAGACCCAGAGGGACCTTTTGCTCGGAGTACAGTCTTTTGAGACCTGCAAGCTCAAGCACACCGAAACCCAGGAGAAGAACCCGCTCCCGGATAAAGATGCTGTTATGCAGGAGAAGGTTCATCAAAACTTAATCTCCGGTGTAGAAGGCTTTGACAAAAGGACAATGAAACATACCGAAACAAAGGAAATGAACACCCTAGCAGATCCTGAAGTGATCGAGGCTGAAAAGGGTCAGCTGAATCTCTTCAATGGCATCGAGAACTTCGACCTTCCCCCACTCAGCATTCTAATGTGCCCCATTCACTTTCCAAAAGTGACTGAAAGTGTCATCCTCAAAATGTGAGGATGACAAATTTTAATAACTTTTTTAAAAATATTCTAATGTTAATTTTTGATTGTTGATTATTGAACATATATTTGTGAAAAATAGTTATGATCTTTCAAATTTTCACACGTTTAAATTTTTCAAAATTATGTTAACAGTGCTTGCTTTTTAACGTTCATGCATAAATTTTAGTAAAGTTCAATTGTTTTTAAATTATACGAACAATTAAATCTAATCACTGAAGAAATTATTCCTTACGTCCAAACTCAGACAAGATACGTAAATCTAAGTACCAACGTCATACCCTACTGGAATTTTCTACTTTGAAAATAGAAACAGCAAGACTTTCTGTACTGAGTGCCAACAGGAAATCTGAAGGGCAGACGTAGAAGACAGGGCCAACAGCTGAAGGTAGGAGAAGAGCTGGAAGAGCAAAGAACAGTCTGAAATAACAAGTGATACAAGAAGATAAGTAATAGAAGAATATTAGATATAATGAATGGAAATTAGGTGGGAATAGCTTTTGGAAAAGAAACAAAAACGGAGACAAATTATAACACAAATAGTACAAAAAATGAAAAACATCAAAAGAGATAATGAAAACTGTAGGAGAATTATAAAGAAACTTGAAAAGCAACATAAGAGTAGAAAAGAAAGATTAGAAAAGAGGTGCACACCTAAGCAAAACAAGAAGAAAAGTGGAAAAAAGAAAGAGAACATGTAAATGTATTAAGCAGCCTGAGGTGGAAATAGTTTTTGGAAAAAAATAAAAACGGAAAAACCTTAGAAGACAAAAATAAGCTCAAACATCTGAAGAGAAGACTAAAGGAAAATTGAACAGTACTATAACAGTCAAAAAGAAAATATAAAAAAAAAGATAAAAGAGCACGCTCTAAGCAAGACAAAAAAAAAGTTGACTAAAGAAAGAGGAAATGTAATTATATTAAAGAGAATGAGGTGAAAATAGGTTTTGGAAAATAAATAGAACTGTACAAACATTAGATCATAAATAGTAGAAAAATAAACAAAAACGCCAAATCTGAACGGCAGATGACAGACTGAAGGAAAATCAAAGTTATAAAATGGTATAGGACGATTTCAACGCACCGCCAATTGTTCTTGTCCTTAAAGAAAGGGTGGTCATCAAATTTAAAAAAAAAACATATCTTCAGTCTAGAAATATATTGTTTCAATTATAATTTTATTAAATTATCATATACAGGATGTATGAAATTCTATCGTGCACCCCTTTAATTCGGAAGTGATTAGCATTAGCAAAAAATGGTCTTATACAAACCACAATTTAATTTTGGCTAGAAATCGCGTGATGGTAACAGATTTAACATAACTTTCTCCTCTCGCTGGGGAATAACATTAACTTTGTTATTTTAAATGAGAAATTCATTTTTATCGTACAATTCGATTCTAGAGCTTATTTTATGGCAATTTTTAGGAAAGGAAAATTTCTGTAGGATCGACCGTTAATGAGTTATGCACGATTTTTTGTTTTTACACGCAAAAATATGTTCTCACTTGTTTCGACGGAGTTATGGTATTATCTTCCATTTTGTTTTAGCTTTCTTATCTAATTGTAAATATGTGTTTAAAAATATAAATGTTTCGAGGCTCTGTTACGTCAGTTAAATTTCGACTAACAATGACCTTTCTTTTGTAATTCTCGTTTTTGTTATTTTCTCGAAGTTAATCTTCCTGAAATCATTCAGAGTATGTCGCACAATAATGTATACTTTAGTATTCCTTTCATGTCGTGCTTTCCAACAAAAATGTATAGAAGCGCCGAGAAGAATATGCTTGTCGCTTTTGTTGCTGGGCAGAGAGGAAGGTCTGCGTCAATTCTCTACAGGTTGCTTACGATTTCTTAATGGTTACCGTATCCTTTGAATTCATTTAATTATCCTTTTCCTCACCTTTTTTCAGAGAGAGGTTTCCGGATAGGGAGAAACACTGATCATCGTGTTTTTCTGCGTTTAGACCCGAATTTGGGTGAGCATGGGCCATTTACCTATAATAACTCGACCGAACACGTCCGGTAGTAAAGCCCGAAAACGGAATAGCGATGTGGTTTTCCGTTGAGGAAAATCCTCACCTTGCAATTAGAGAGAGAGAGAGAGAGAGAGAGAGAGTCAATTCTTCCTCCTTATCGTGCTCATCTCTCTCAAAACATCAAGACATTCACGAGGGAGATCCAACGAGGCGTTTCGTTTTCATTTCACGATTCCTCGTCGAAATAGGCATGGAACCGGACCTTCTGAGCCGAATATTGTGGACCGAAAACTCCCAATACTCAGATAACAGGATTTGAATAAACACAACAGTCTGGGCATCCTTGTTGGATTTTTCAAACGCGTTACCAAACAGTCAATTGGAATAATGTTTGTGCGGATTGCTCGGCAACCAGTTTATTGGACCACATTTTTTATCGGAACACTCAACGGGAAGCGGTATCATTCTTTTATAGAAAATACCCTTCCTGTTCTCATGGAAAGAATTCCGCTATGCACCAGGGGAAGGATGTGGTTCGAACAAGACGGTTGACCGGCTCACAACAGTCGCGTCGTTACCAATATTATTACTTGGACATGAACCCTACATGGAGATGGATTGACTTCGTAGCCTCCGAGGTCGCCAGGTTTGACCCTCTTCGATTATTTTCATTGGGGGGGGGGCATTGAAGAATCGAGTGAATTCCAATCCATCTCCTGTATTGACTGTCCAAGAACCCGAACAACGGATAGTTCTGGCTTGGAGAGAAATCCGCCCATAAATTATAAAAAGGTCACAAATGAAGAACTCCTGAAACGAGCAGAGCTCTGCGCCTCAAACGCTGAGAGGATAGTTCAGCATTTATTATAAACATAAATTTTAATAAACGTTCATATCTGCATAATACAATATATAACAACAATACATAATAACAGCTGAGAGTCATTTTACAAATAAAACGGACTCGATGATGATAAAAAATTCTTTTTGTTATTCTTCTTTTTTAAAATTAATATAAGCTAAGCGTAAAAGCAACCATACGATCCCTACCCTATTCTGAGACGATTCCTGTCTTAAATTAATTTACTAATGGTAATCGTTTTGGAAATAAACGGGGAGTGCCATCTTGTTACAAAAAGCTTACCCCTCATGTCTCTTCCGTCGGGCTTAACTCAGAAATGGTCGATCCTGTCAAAATTTTCCTTTTAGTAAAAGTGACATAAAATAAGGTCTAGATTCGAATTGTACAATAAAAATATGGTATTCTCATTTAAAATAACAAAGTTAGTGACATTTCCCTTAAAGTTAATAGTATCCGAATTAAGTGGTGGACTACAGAAGTTGACACACCCTGTATATGTAACAGAGGATGATATGGCTGCCAAAGAAGTGGTATAAACAACATGCTTCTTTAGTTTGTTCAAATAATAATAATTCTATTGATTGATGTTGTACCATAATCAAAAATGTCAAAAAGAATCATAAGAGGAGGCGAAATTATTCTTCTTTTTGTTTTTATGAACAAACATTTATTCGTATCGCCTCTATAAAACTGAAAAAGACAAATTTCCCTTCATTCACAAGTATAAATTTGTAGTTTGATCGTTTCCGACAAGCCCGGTCCGCCTACCTTACACATGATTTAGTATTTATATTCACTAATTTCGTGGTCCGCTTGACCAATTAATATATTATAATTAATTACGGTTTTTAGTTGAGATAAAAAAGTCAATGGCACGAGCGGGATTCGAACCCACGATCTTCGGCTTGATACGCCGCTGCTCTACCACTTGAGCTATCGTGACTTCCATCCACTCTGACACCAACTAGTGAATTTAATGATTGAAAATGAAGTATACTTCACTAAAGCTCTCCGAGGCCATTTCATTTGTCGTCGAGAATTCAATCTGATTACACGACATTTGAAAAATGGCAAAAGAGGGTAAAATTCAAAAGGTGGGGTTGAGATGGGAAGTTGGTGTCCGAGTGGATCGAGGTCACGATAATTCAAGTGGTAGAGCAGCGGCGTATCAAGCCGAAGATCGTGGGTTCGAATCCCGCTCGTGCCATTGACTTTTTTTATCTCAACTAAAAACCTTAATTAATTAGTATTTATAGTTATTTATTTATTATAAATTCCTGGATCTTCCGAGCACACAAAGTAGAATCTTCTTTATTTGTTGAATAACTAATAATAATTTTGTTGATTAACTTGGGGTTTGTGAGGTGACCATTTTTTCTAATGCTAATCGTTTTCCAAATAAACTGGGAGGGTCATCTTGGCACAAAAAGTCCACCTCACGTCTCTTCCGACGGGCGTAACTCAGACAAGGTCGATCCTATCAAACTTTTCCTTTCTGTAAAAGTGGCATAAATAAACTCTAGAATCGAATTGTATAATAAAAATGTGGGATTCTCATTTAAAATAACAAAGTTAATGTCAATTCCTAGCTCTATGAGAAAGTTATGTTAAATCTGTTACCACTATGCGATTCCTAGCCAAAATTAACTTCGGTTTTGTGTTAGACTATTGTTTGCTAAAGTTAATCGTTTCCGAATTAAATTGCTGGACTATAGTTGATACACTCTTTATACGAATATGATGGCCATGTCTGCCGAAAACAATAAAATTTTATACTTTCCTTAGTGTGTGATACCAGATAAAATTCCAGGGTTTTCTAATATTTTCAATATTTTCTCGTGTCATTTAGTTTAAATGAAATGCCATCTGTACTGCTTTACTCCACTTTGGCAAAGTTGACAGAGTTGATATGGAACATGCGTTATTGAAATAAGTCCATCAAATAAGTTTTTCTTTCAGAAAATAAGTTTGAAAGATGTTTCGACTTAATATCCCATTCGGGGCCTTGTGAAAGAAAACCAATCGGGCAAAATTCATTGAACCCTAACTGATTTTTGCATTGTTGCATCTCGGGTCGCTGGGATATAAGCTCGGGACGAAACAATGTGTGCGAGAAAAAAATGTTACGGTATCAATCGTTTTTAAAATGGAATTGAATTCTGAAACCATTCCAATTTTATTTTTTAAAAGATTCGTGTGTATTCAGTCATGTTTACCAAAAGTCATTATTGACTTGCTAATCGTTGTTTGAATCATGAGAAAATAGTCATTCTCTTAAGTTATGTTCTATTTTTTAAAAATAGGTTTTCAAAGTCCTCAGGAAGATATCAAATACAGCCGAAAGCTCGACATTAGAGAACAAGTAGGTGGCTTCATCCATGATCTCCCTATCTTTATCATTAAATATAATAATTTATTATACAATTTAATAAAAAAGAAGAAGTTTATATTGTGAATAAGAACCAGAGGTTATTTTGGTGCATTTTTCGACGCACCCTGTATACTATTGTACTATTAAAGAAATAATGTATCTGATTTAATTTTGGTAATTATACTGATGAAATATTGCATGTTAGCAATTTCTTCCCATTTCATTTCCCTTCGTTTTATGCCAGAGCTTTAGATGTGAGTTTAGGTTTTGAATTTTCATCTGGAGGGTGCGAAGGTTTTTTTAACTAAATTCGATACAATTCAATCAACAGATCGATTAATTAATATACGGTGTATTCACAACTCGTACACAAACAACCAATTAAATGTTGATTGATGTTGTGTTACTTTCAAAGTAGTGAAGTTATTACATTAGGCGGTTAATTCATGTGTAAAGCCGAACTTGGCTGTTTCTACAAGGTTGGTTAAAATTAGTTTCAGTTATCTTGTCCTACCACACTGCCCCCATCGGTGCGACAGCGGGAAATTTTGGACTGAATTGTCTCGTTGTGCAAACGAACACGTGTTTGACCAGGCGGACCCGTTCCGAAGTGAGAAATCCCATCTCGTACATAATTGCATTGCAAATATTATAAACAATACTGACTAAATTAACTGACGTGAATGCGAGTCCTTCCGTTTCGCGGCGACCCTTTTACCGACGTTTACATTGGATTAAGGGCGAGAATGAAATCACGAAGTGTCCGACTCACCCACTAAACTCGGTTTTATTAGAAAAGACGAAAGTATCACTCTTTTCATCCGACGACGACGCTCCTTCATCCCTCGAACTATAAACTTAATTTCTCACCAACTACCTGCTGATGTGAAGTACACATCTTCCTTCGAGAAAAGCACTCAGGCTCGACCCCATAATCTCAAAGATACTTAAATGTATTTCCCACTTCCCTGAACGACAATGTGTTTCCTCAAGGGAAGTAAAGTTTTTTCCTTTAATAGAGTTTTGCAAAACCTGGAATAAGGGAAAACTGAAGGGTCAATATCAGTCAATACTGTAAGTGGAGTGGCACATCCCAACCAAGCTACAACAAAGCAATTTTATTTGGTGTTTACATTACCTAAAACATGTTTACACATGACAGTTAAAACTTCAAGTTTAATTCTTCTAGACTGTAAACACTTGAATCAAAATCTTTTTAACTTTATTTACAAATGCATTAAAATTTAATTTTACGTAAGTTTCTGGGATTAAATTATAATTTTTTTTACGGGGCATCCGACAGCTTTGTCATTTCAGCCCCGAGCGCATGCGAAATATTCAATACGCATTCACACAAATAAATACATTCACACCTTTATACATTAATTATATACACACCTACATACAAAACATATATATATTCATTCTATTTGGTTGATGGAATATTCGATATTCCTCCAGTGACCTGCATACAATAGCAAACTAATCTAATTGGGGTCTAATATTTCACCATCGACCCAACTCACGTATCCAGCACGAGGGGCGATGGGGATGCTATTCCCCATTCACTCTAATAAATACACTCACTCATACAAAACACAGAAACACATATTTTGACGGCTATATACAATGAAAATTTCCAATTCCCGTGAAACTCAGCGTGTCCGAACACCATTCTTAAATCCGGTGCCATGCCTACACGCTCTCTGTATGGAGCCAAGGCATGACACGCCTCTATTATGAGAGACACAGCGAGCAACTTTTAACAATTAAAACACGTATTAAAGCTGACACGTAAGGGTAGCTTTTCCGGAAGTGCCGTATCTGTCAGTATTTATAGAGCCAAGTAAATCTCACTTGAACTAGAGAAGAACTTGATTCTTCTTGACTTGAACTGATTTTGCACTTAATTTTTCTTAAGTTTGTAATAAAACAATAAATCAATATTACAGAACTTTTTAATGATGTAATCAAATTTATAGCAGGATTATTCTTATAGCAGCAAATTTATAGCAGGAATGGGTTACAGGGGCTTTATGAGAAAAAGTTGTGAAAGGTTGAAGTAACAATCTCGAATATATTCAGGATACTTGGGTCAATACTATAGAGACATTTTAGTTTTATTTGACATTAAGAATAATTAATTAATCTTTTTCTTATGTAAGGTTTTGGTTGAAATGAAAAAGATTGTGTCACGAGAGGGATTCGAACCCACGGCCTTCGGCTTGATACGCCGCTGCTCTAACCACTTGAGCGATCGTGAGTTCGATCCGCTCGGTCACCAACTCCCATCTCAACCTACAACCTTTCGGCCAATTCACATGTCGCCGAGAATCGAATCCTGTTTACACGACATTTGAAAAATGGCAAAAAGAGGGAAAATTCGACAGGTTATAGGTTGAGATGGGGAGTAGGTGACCGAGTGGATCGAAGTCATGATAGCTCAAGTGGTAGAGCTGTGGTGTATTGAGCCGAAGGTCGTGGGTTCGAATCCCGCTCGTGACACTAACTGTTCAACCAAAAGTAATTTGGTCAATAGACCACTAAATATAATGGATTTATTAAGAATAATGTATGGAATTGATGTCGGTTCAATGGACACCCTGAATAATAAACAATACAGCAAGATACGCATCCGTCTGCCGGAGATTCTTCTTATTGTCAAAATTAAAAAAAAGTGAAATAAAATAATGTATATGATCTGTCATTTACAGATAATTATAATGAATTAAGAGTAAGAAGAAATGATAAAAGCAAAATAAAATAAGAAAATAATTAAAATTTACAAGTTAATTTTGCAGCTAACCTTTAAAATTAAATTCCTTTAATAACATTTTTGTATAGTGTCTAATATCTGAAAGCACAAAGTTAAAAAAGAAAAAAATATCTGAAAGAGATTGGTAAAAAAATTTTCAACTCCTCCTACAACTGTAATGGAATCAACAATAAAATTATTATATGTAATAACATAATATAATAATTGTCGTTAAAATATTTACTACATGTTTTATTTATAAATTTTGTTCAAATGGATTCTTTGTTGCAGGAATGGTCCAAAATATTGTGATGGTTACCCTGAGCCTCGTATTCGCATCAGTCATACTTCTGTCAGCTGCTTCGGAGAGCGTCCCCTACATGGGGTGAGTAGATTTCCATTGTCTCCTTCCTTTTTGACGACCGGCCTTCAAAAAACCAGGACACCCTCTCAGACGGAGGTGGGAAGGACAGGGGCATATCTCTTCCATTACAAACGGCAAGAGTTAAAGTGGTCCCTTTTGCTCACGTACGGCCCCATCGGGGGATGTTTCCCCGCTCGAATTGAAATTCGACTGTTGAGTCGGGGGTAATGCGTATGACAGTCACGTCTTTCTGCATCCTCGAGAAGACACCTTTAAAAGCATACAACGATAACTTCAAATAAACGATAGAACGTAGCGCTATGTAACTTTTCTAGAATTGCCATTTCCAAAAGGGTAAAAATACCCCTTGCAGAGATACATGTATTATTTTTATATTAACTGTTTTTTAAGCAAACATATCCGGATATTAAAACGATGGCCTACGAAGAAAAGTTTTTTAAATTATTACTACTTGTATTAATACAATATACATCTCTTAATTTGAGGTTATTTACATATTAACATTATACACTGTATATCGTGTCTTGAGGGGAGCCGCCAACCATTGTTGGTCTCCCAGTTTCGTGCAAGGTTAGTCCTTGATGAGGAGGTCCCGAGGTCATCTCCGCTTTAATCGGCGGACAGGATTGCAGGGATGGATTATGTTGGACATGGATTGGGTTGGGGTGAGTGGAGAGTTGGTCGTGGAACTGGGTGAATTTGGTCGGGATTAATTTATTTACAAAGGGTATTTTGAGGTCATTGTTGAGGGTGGCGTTGTACACATAGTAAGGAGGATTAACTATAATTCTAAGGACTTTGGATTGGAAGGACTTTGAATTCGCTGGATTTTGGTAGGTTTAGCGGTGCCCCACAGTTCTAGTCGTATGTCCAAATCGGTTTCAGTAGTGTTCTGTACAGTATTTGTTTTGTGTCGACAAATTAGATTTGCGTCCGATTAGTTTATACAGTAGTCCTAATCGTCTATACAGTTCCTGTCTTTTTATTTGGATGTGTTGTTTCCACGTCAGTCGTGAGTCAAGATAGAGCCCGAGGTATCGTACGCAGTCAGCATTGAGAATTGTTGTTGAGGTGTATTGTGTGAAGAGTTTTGTTTCGGAGTGTGATTGGAGCTCTTCTGAAGCTTTTTCAGGATCGAGATTGGACGAAAGGACGGCTGTGTCGTCGGCGAAGGATTCAAGTACAAGATGTGGATGGGACGTCTGATTGTAGAGGAGGTACAAGAGTGGTCCGAGCACACTGCCCTGTGGTACTCCTGCTCCCGGAGGACAGTAGTCGGAATCTGAAATATTGTCCAGTAAGGTAGGATCGAAGGATAAAGCCAGGAACGCACTTACCCGATGCTACGCCATGCGACGCTACCCGATGCTACCCGACGCCTTGCCACGTTTTGGTGGGGTGTGCACATCTATCCGACGCAAGCACACGTCGCGTACAGTCCACAGCGTTTATCACAATAATCACTATCACAATCGCAACGCATCTTTTGTTCTTAATGCACTATTTTGAGCAAAACCTTGTAATAAATTGTTAGTTAAATTTTATGAGCACAACCATCTAATAAATTGTTTGTTAAACTTAATTGTTTTAAATAAAGTTACTCCTAACCATCATAATTAAACAATGTTTATAAAAACTTATGCATTTTTGATCTCGTTTAATTTGGTTTACATTAAAATAACATGTTGTAATTAATATAACGACAAAATTACATGTACTTAGTTTGAAATAAACTACAAAAAATATGAGTGTCCTGTTCTGATGCTACCCGACATTACAAAATGGTGTAATTTTACGAGCAAAACTATGAAATAAATTGTTAATTAAATTTTATGAGCAAAACCGTGTAATAAATTGTTCCAATTTTAGTATATGTACCGCCGAAGCGAGTACAATAAATTGTTAGTTAAATTCATTATATCAAAAAATCGTATTCCGGTGTTTTGATTAATTTTCTACCAAACCATTAAAATTAATTTTTTAAATAAAAACTAATTAATTTTTAATCACAGTTAATTTGGTTTATATTAAAATAAGTATGTTGTAATTAATATAACGACAATAATACATGTAGTTTGAATAAAAATATGAGTGTCCGGTTCTTTTGTCTTCGACTGTACTCGATGTGACCCGACGAAAATCTGGACAGTGGGGATCGCAGAGCGTCGGGTAGGTTAGCGTGGCATAGCATCGGGTAGATGTGCACGGGGGTAATGCAACCTTATGGAAAATCGGAGTTTGGATTTCCGTCGGGTAGCATCGGATAGATGTGCACGGGGGTAATGCAACCTTATGGAAAATCGGAGTTTGGATTTGAGTCGGGTAGCATCGGGTAAGTGTGTTCCTGGCTTAAGATGTTTGGAAGGACGCGCTTTAGACCTTCGTGCCATACACGATCAAATGCCTGTCATACGTCTAGGATGGCTCCAGCAAAGCATTCTTTACGAGGAAAATTATATATTTTTTTATTTATTATCATTTAAAAATTTATGTAAGGACTACTTTAAATCATAAAAAAATGGCCAATGGTCAGTAATTACTCAGCATACTTGCGTATTAGATGCCTTTACAGAACAGTTCCAAGTGTACTAATTGGTCGAAGACAAGTTCTGTACGAAGTTAGTTTGGATTTTACGATCAAAATATAAGTTAGTTTTAAAATTTGATAAATTTTAAATCATAAGGCACACAATGTGAGAAATAATGAGGCAATGTGGTTTCGAGATCATGGGAGGATTCTTTTTGTGTGCAGACAACAAATATCACCTTTATTTCCAGGTAAAAATATATTCATTAGATTTCGTGGTCCGATTGACCAAATAACATCTTTCAATTAATTAATCTTTATGTAAGGTATTGGTTGAAATAAAAAAAGTCAGTGTCACGAGCGGGATTCGAACCCAAGACCGGCTAAATACGCCGCTGCTCTACCACTTGAGCTGTCGTATCTATTTGTCGCCGAGAATCAAATAGATTTCACGACATTTTAAATAAAAAATGGCATAAAGGAGGGAAAATTCGAAAGGTTGGGTTGAGATGGATGAAAGTCACGATAGCTCAAGTGGTAGAGCAGTGGCGTATTTAGCCGAAAGTCGTGGGTTCGAATCCCGCTCGTGACACTGACTTTTTTTTATCTCAACCAATACCTTACATAAAGATTAATTAACTAAAACTACACATTACCCTACTTTGCTAGAGAATCAGTCACTAGGTCAAAGCTGGAGTTGGCCCCTTCCTGAAGCATCCTAGAAACTTTATAAGGTGCTAAGAATAATAAATTTTCAATTGAAAATACAATTTTACAAGATAGATTGTAAATGAAACTTTATATATATTCATTTATGTTAACCATTTGTATATCCAGATATATTTGATTTATTTGCTGTTGGTTGGATTTTGCCCAAATATTCTTTTCCCTCCGAAAAAAAAATCTTTTACTCTTTCGATTAGTAAAACCTCGACTTATATGTATTTTTAATCTCTTTTAAAAGATATTTGCTGTAATTTTGTACGTGTAAAAGGGGGTTTTAAATGAAGCTTTGCTCGGTTGAACCGCTTAACATAACACAAACATAGCCCTATGTAAGGCACTTTCTTTGTTTACACCAAATATTAAAAGAAAACACAGGGAAAAGTACCTCGTTTAAGATAAAGAGGAAGCTTCCATAATTGTTTCTTTTTTTTCTTCTTTTTTTTGGCCATGATGTTTTATGGTTATTATGTTCCAATGAATTTCCTCGCTTGTCGATAACGTTTAATGATTATTTTTGTGTAGATTACTTAAATATTGAAAATAAAAGAAAGCTTTCTTTATATTTTTAACAAGCCCTGAGAAAGTTACAAACTTCTCCGATGATAAAAAGGATGTATTTCTTGCGGATTACAGACATAACGAAGGGTCTCCAGTTTGTAAATTAGACCTCTTTTTGTAATCAAGCATTAAATAATTTAACAGCTGAAAAGTAAAGAATGGAACGAGTTAATAAATTGACCCGAAAAAAAGGAGAATAAAAACCCCTTTGATCTTTTCTCAGTTCTCCTGACTGTTTCCAAAGAATTCCTTCCATAACATTAAACGGCTTAAGATTGCTAAACCTAGTTTAGCGAATATGTCAACAGAAATTGTATTTTTCATCGGGGAAACCTGAGATTTCCACCCTCCACATCCGGCTAGGGCAAATATGCATAACTTCCTCTCTTCACCCCTTCGAGGGGCGACCCTTTAGGAGTTGTCTGGTCTAAAAAGGCCCTTTAATAACCCACAACCCGTTTGACGTTGACTTTAGAATAAAATTGCTGAAAAAAAAGTCGACCTAAACAAGCCACTTTCATATCACGGGCTTTATGCTTGAATATTAAATTTGAATTAAGGTCAGATTAGCATTGAGCGAATGGCACCACTTTCACGTCTCCCAGGATTAAACATTCATGAATTAACGGCCGTCAATTCAAGATTTGGCGAGATTTTATCAACTCAGCTTTGAAAGTTCGAATATGAAAAGTGATAAAATGCACAAATTTGAGTTTGAGAAATTGACATACCAGCATGTTGAAAGGACGCATAAAAACGACAGGATGATTGACATTTATCGTGTCTTGTTTGTTATCGTATCGCTGTTCAATTTATCTGTTATCCCTTCTCAAGAAAAGTTCAACATCTGAACACTCAGTACTAAAAGGCTCGAGTTTCTTTTACTTACTAGTACTTAGCGTTACCTGAGCTTTGACCAAGTCCAGCGGTTTCTACTCACTCGCCTTTTTATTTATATCAGTCGGAAGTTTCGTAAAATCATAGACAATGACCTTTTGAAGTCCTTTCCTGAATAAATAAGTTCCGTGATCAGTCCGCAAGGATGTTTAACAACTTACAATACGCTGCTTAGCAATACTGAGAACAATATTGTTAATATTTGGAATAAATGATACGTTTGAGTTATTTGCATGTAAAACACAATAATTAATTATTATTCTGAGTTTTATGTAAGCACTTCCTTAACCGGTCACTGGCATCTGAGAAAACATCTACACAACATGGGTATATACAACGATGATCCCATTTGCAGATTATGTAAAGAGGAAGGAACAGCCACTCATATCATCTTCGAATGCGAAGCAACAGCTCAATGGAGATTTAACCTAACGGAAAAAAGGTGGCCATTCACGATCACTCCAAATGGAACCGCGCCAAGCTGTACAGCTCCATTTGGAGTGCCTGAAATTTGAGGAGCATTCACGACCGCTCCACAGCCAGTCGTTCCGAACGTCAACCAGTGAATTACCTTCTCAAAATGGATGACGATCTCTTGTGCTACTCTTCTGTTTATGTACATATTAAAAGCAAAAAATCGAAGAGAAAATGGTGTAAGAAGTGGCTCCTGAACAGAAGCCGTAATACCCACATCAATTTGATGAAAGATCTTTCCCTTGAACCCGCTGATTTGAGGAACTATTTAAGGATGGATGAAACGTCTTATTTATTCATTATATTTAGTATTCTATTGAACAAATTACTTATTTCAATTATTTAATCTTTTTTGTAAGGTTTTGGTTGAAATGAAAAAGCTAGTGCCACGAGCGGGATCTGAATCCATGGCCTTCGGTTAATACGCCGCTGCTCTACCACTTGAGCTAACGTGACTTCGATCCTCTCCGACACCAAAAAATGGCAAAAAGAGAGAAAATTAGAAAGGTTGTAGGTTGAGATGGGGAGTTGGTGCCCGAGTGGATCTAACTATCGAAATCAGGATAGCTCAAGTGGTTAGCGCAGCGGCGTGTTTAGCCGAATGTCGTGGATTTGAATCGCCTCGTGACACTATTTTTTAATTTCAACCAAAACCTTACAAAAAAAAAGATTAACGTCTAATTTATATTTACTCCAGCTTGTTACCCCCTTGATTAGAAAACAAAAGACAGTCATGAGAGAAATCATCACTACATGAAAGGTTGGCAACCACATTACGATTTCTCGCTACAGGGATGAACAACATATAACTTAAGTTCTCTACTACGATTTCTGATCATTGTTAGGGGATATCAATACCGCATCTCTCGTTGCATTTGTATCCTTTGTTTTGAAAACGTCGACCAACTGGTTGAGGATCGAATTTCTTTTATTTCTATCGTGGTAATATAATCATTGTCCAACATTTTCATAAACATGGTAAACTTTCATACAATTCAATCACCTGAACAATAAAATCTCGATTGGATGTCATTACCAATAAAGAATAAACGTTTTTGACTTTTTGAGAATGTACGACGGAGATGTTTGATCAGTGACAGAAAGACGGAGACTGCGCCAAAAAAACGAGGGTTTTCCCATTCAGGACCAGGCCACCGCGCCAAAATCCCCACCCTCCACGCCACATTTTCCCATTCACGAACGCGCCATGCCGTCGTCGCGCCGTAGATATTTGGAGTGGCGCGATGGAGTTTGGACCGGTCGAATATTCGGCACAGCCGGGCACGCCAGTTCAGTTTTGCCATTGGCGTGGTTTTTGGAACGGCGTCGCTCCGTTTGGCCTGCTTGGAGCGATCGTGAATGGCCACCTTTAGAAGAAGGATTGAGTCTATTGCACTGAACTAAGGAACTAGGAAGGTACAATAAGCCAGAAGGCCTGGAGAACGCAAACACCGCTTCCTAGTATCCTTTTTTACCATACCATACCAAGCACTTCCTTTGGTAAATAGGCTGAAAACCCTAACCTTAAAAGAACATTTACGAAATAACAAAAGCACACCGTTTAGCAAACCCCTATTGTCGAATGGTTAGCTCCAAAATAGCACATTTGTGTCACAAAATTATGTACTATAGCACTTTAAAATCCCTAGTAAAAACGTGCAGTGATTAGTGACCGTTAATCGATATTTATTTAAAAATCGTGAGATGCGGTCTGGTGTGATGTAGGTTTCAGAAAAACATTTTCTTTATCGTGCCAACGTTTCGATCTTTATTGAAATCATCTTCAGGGCTCTAAGTGTTTTTCTTCTGTGTAATTGTGCCATTCTTGCGTGTCGTGATCGAAACGTTGGCACGATAAAGAAAAATATGTTTTTCTGAAACCTACACCACACCAGACCGCATCGCACGATTTCTAAATAAACCTAGTAAAAACATTGAATCAGAATATTTAACCTAACCCTACCCCTACCAAACCTAATTTAGCCCATTCCTTACTTTAGAGTAAGCCTTAGCGTTAGCCTAACCTATCCCAACCCAATTTATTCGGAATCCCTGGATGACGGAAAATGACCACGCAAAACAAATATTGTATCCAACGCAAAAGCCATATGAAAAGTAAGTAAAGTAATATTTATCATACAAGAGGGCTCCAACTACTCGTCGGTTGAAACGGTCTGTATGATCATTTTTTCCAAATTAATCCATAATGAAATTCAAAGATCCTAATCCAGGATTCGAACCAAGAACAGCGTGGCATATATGAGTCAGACGCCTCAACCACTCGGCCACCGTGGCCTCCTCATTGAGTTTTCAATTGATTTGACCTTTAACAAAATGTATAAGTAATGAAATTAACAATATTAGTGAAACGTACTGCGCCTCCAAAAAATTCAAGCTGATGCCCATCAGTTCTGATACGGTCAAAAATGCCTGTCAATTTTTAGTACAGCTATGATATTTGTAGCTTGGCAGTTTCCGTCCATTCTCGCTTTTTCCGTCTTTCAGACTTGTCTTTTTGCCACCTTCAGTCGAATTTATTACTTTTGATTGTAGAAAACAGCTTAACCTCTAAAATATTTTATGTAGTAGCATATTTGTACCTGATTAGCTGACCCCAGACTGTGCTAGGATCGTGTGTGCTATTAGCGTCAAAGTAGTACATTTGCGTCAAAACATTTCTCAACCTTAACACAAAGGTTATACATAATTTTGATTAAGCGTAAATTTAGCTGTAACTAAGTGAAAACTTAATCTAAAAAATAGTTTACAAAACAGGGTAGCTTAACAAAACTTGTTGACTTTAACATTTTTAACAGGATCGACACTGGTTGTCTAAATTCTTCCAGTAAATACGTTTAAACGCTGTTATGAGTGTGTGTTTATCTTTTTATTTATCTCTAACCCATAAAAATTATTGTTTCAGACCCAGAGCGTACTTAGGTGATTTCGAGTCCGAACCAGACACACAGGTGATGATGGAAATCCTGGCAAAACTCGGACAGACGATAATGAGGGCAAACGATCTTGAAAAGTATGGTACTCTAAGGTTATTATTGCTTACACATTGCTTCAATCTATTTTTTTTTTTTTTATTTGTTAATCCTTCTATGTGTAAAGTTTTCACAGCACTTGTACAAAAATTAGGGGGGAAACGCAGAATCCAGGTTGAGATAATCGACTCAGGTTTGTAAGGCAGGTTTGTCGGATTAAAAAAGAATTCATCCTGTTATTATAATTTTTATATTAATACACCTAAATCGAATTTGGGAGCAAATAAACTTTTAGCTATTACTGTTAATACATTTTTTTAAAATTTGTTGTTTGATTTTTCTTTCTATCCAAAAGAAAGAATAAAGCAGATCGGTTATTTTAAGATATAACACATTATTACTACAGTTATTTGGAGTTTTATGAACTGGTGGGTTTCTAATTTTTGCTAAGAACCCTTCGAAGGAAAGCAGAATTATTATTTGTAATGAAATCATAAAGGCTGGGGCTTTTTTCACAATGATAACCCCGAGTTATGATGGTAGAAGTGGTAAAACGTATAACGGGGTGGGTTTATGGTTTGAAGATTACCAAGCCCGTTCCTCGGAATTCGTATCATTTCAAAACACTTAAAACTTATATTTTTGTTATCGGTTCGACAATCCTAGATCGTGTTTCGTAAAAGGGGAAAGTTGTGAACGACACGATTGTCTAATCGTTTTGAATTTATTCCGTCGTGTTTTAGTGAGCCGGACGGGCGACGAGTTGAGGAAGTTTAACACAATTAACGGACCCCACGACGAACAGGGGCACGGAAACTTGCCAGGAGGGCGTTCAAACACTTGACACTCCGTTTTGCAAAGAGTGAATTTCAAATTCAAATCGGCACATTTTAATGTTTCTCTTTCCACCGACGGATCCGCCGCAAATCCATTTGGAAACCTAAGGGCGGGGTTGCGGCTCTTGCGGTTTCTCTAACTCGCCCTCTCGCCCTTTATCTTGAATTATTGTGTCAGCCCTTATCCAAGAAACACTTTTCTGGAATATTGAATGATCTGAAACAACAAACCCTGCGAAGGGGGTTGGGATAAGTAACCAAAGAAAATTGATAATCTTCTAAGGTCTATTATTCCCGAGTTTTCTTCGTTTCTTCCAGGCTTTTTAAAAAACTTACTGGAATTTCTTTTAATTTAGACAACTAGTTGTAATACAAACACTATTTTAAACTATTTAGACTATCCAAATTAAGAAAAATCGACTTACAAATTTTCCAATTTTAACTAAACGATCGATTAAAGTCTGCTCAGTCCTGATGTCGTCGTGATCATCACCATGTTCTTAGTTTTTAACTTGTTTTTAAAACAATCGGCTATGCTAATGATGATAATGCTGATGGTTACGAGAAAGTGGGTTTTTTCCCCCAAGCAGCCTTCGGGCTTATCGTATTTTTCTAGTTCTTTAACTCAGTGCAATCTATTCGACCCTTCTCGTAAGTTCTTGGTCATTAACTAGTGCCATTCCTTTCCTGGGTTTTCTTTGTATCTTTCTGATGACGACGCGGGTCTCATTGCATAACCTACAAATGGAGTCATCATTGAATATGCCCATGTTATGTATATGTTTTTTTCAGATTTCAGTGATCTGTAAATAATTCATTTAAATAATCTAATCACACTTCTGACTTTAGCCTCTCTAACTGTAGCAGTAAATTAGCCAGTTTAGGAGAGGGTTGTATTAACATGAGCTTACTGTGCCACCTCTAGAGTTTGTCGACTTTTTCTTTTGTCTTTTTTCTATCCATTCTGTGACGCAGGATTCTGGGTTTATTTTGATATCCAAAGGGCCTGCATATGATCCTTCTGGCCAGTGTGTCTGTTTTTCATTACCCAAAATTAATTACCTTATGTCCTGGTACCTAAGATACCATCAGCTTGTTGTGTTTCCCCAGGTTTGAGATATTTCGGATGCATTCACTTATTAATTTTGATGTGATATTTTTACATGGTAATGCTTGGCTATCCGATCTAGGAAATTTTGCCAATGTAACCTCTTTAAGATTTTCTAAGCGATAGGATTTGATGGCACGTATTTCACCTCGACAGTCGCACTTCCCTAATGCGTTTGATTGCTCATATTTTGGGTTTGTACATAATACGCTTTTTTTCCTCCTGAATTTTCTTCTCTTTTGTAGTCTGTGAGACTTATAGAATGCTGCTGTAAAAATGGTTTCCGAGATCAAGTAGTCCACGTTTGTAAGAATGAATGTCTGAGTTTATTATTTAATGTTCTGTGCCTCTAGTGTTTCCCATTCAAATTGATTGTTACTGAGCCTAAATGAGTTTTTCCTAGCTTCTCGTAAAGAATGTTTCCAGTGGAGGTAGGTTTAGCTGAATTTGTAGTGCAATTGACCGGGTTGTTTTCATTGCCCATGTAATACATAATTTTGCCAGTCTTTATCTACTCCCTAATATTTGTGTAGCTTGTTTTTGTTGTCCTTGGGGCCACCAGATTAGCCATAGGATAATTTGGGTCTTATTACCGCCGTATGAAGCCGGCCACTTTCGGTTCTAGTCACCAAGATTTGCCTACAGTTCTTCTTGTTGTCTTTAGCGATATTTTATGTTTTGTTATGCTGCAGCTTAGGTATCTTATCAAAAATTTTGATAATTGTTATCAAATTGTTTTATGTGGTTTATTATTGCTATTTAACAAGAGAATAACCCGCTCGAGAAATATCGAGTAATCTGGGGTGAGTGTGTGACATCTGGAGAGTAAAAAGTAACTTATTAGCGAGAGTGGAGTGGGTTCGACCCCGCCCCGATGAATATCGAGTATTCTGGGAGAGTGATTATGACCTGACTTTTATGTTTGTAAAGGGTAGTTATGCATATATATGAATTGTGCCTATTAATAGATTTCCTACTAGTTGTCAACCTAAGTTTCAAATGAGAGGCTACCATTTCAGGATATCGATTTAGTTTTCATATATAAACAGAGAGTCAGTAATAAATTGCGAAGTTTAATTGGCTGCAGGTTGAAAAATACCCGTAAAACACCAGAAAAAGAAGTACAAACATGCAGAGCATCAGCGATGCCTCGGCTGGTTAACGGCCCCTAAACTACCTAAATCATTGGCATGTACATATTTGGCAGCTAATTGAGTTCGCCCGTTTAGTTGTAAAACGGTCGAGACTATCAGGATTTATTCAAGTTTTCTTAAGTAGAACAATTTAACGTGATTTACTCAGGAAGTTTTGATTTGTACTACACTTGATTTCAAAATTGACACAGGATTTATTTTCAGTTTAGTCTTGTGCGTTTACGAAAGGCTTAACTTTACTCAACCCTTGCAACGACGCAAGTTCAAAGTAGTGAAAAAGTGTACCGTGACCGTCCTCGGCAAGCCCTCAGGGCTAAAAGATTAATTTTCCCCGAGTCGTTGTTACTAGGGGCACGTGTGGCCGAGAAATATTGCACAAACTGTTGTATTTTTTCTAATCCCAGTCGGGTGGGTAAATTCATTTAATGATATATCACGAAAAACGAGGGTTCTTATCTGGAAATTAAAGCCGACAAATTGATATTGCCAGATTGAGAGGCGCGTGGGTCCAATCGGTGCGCTTAATTTCCTACCTTTAAAGAAATATACGCCGCGTTTTCTCCTCTTTTCTACCTCAACTGAATTGATCCAACTGTTATTTTCCGGCTGAGCTATAGACCACAAAGAGATCCGAGGCAATTTGGTTTTACAGAGATTTTCCTATTATTTTTTTGTTGTTGTGTCCACAGAAATCCACTTTATCTTGTTACGTTTCTGTATCGAAATGCCGCTGGGCCGCTTTGATGGTCTCGTACTCTCTTAATCTGGCATACCCGAAAGTCACAACGTATAGAAAATGCTGGCAGGGGTTATAAATAATTCTAGAAATGCCCTGAGGGGGTGGGAAAGTTTTTGTTGTTCTTTCAGTCAGAAAATGGAGTGCATTGGATCATTCTCAGCAAGGCACCCCAGCGTTAAACAGACTAAAAAAATAATTTTACAACCTTTAAAAACAATCTTTGCTAAATATAAAATGCATATTGATATTTTTATTTATTTAATCTTCAATCATTCATTGTAGTAAATAAATATTTAAATAATTATCCAGATCCTTATATTGTGAGAAATTTTAGTGAGATCTATGAAGTGATGAACCTGAAATTTCTTCATCTCCAATCATCCTGACTTGCCATATGAAGCATTATATTTCATCAAATTGATCGATTCATAAAATCCACCTTAAGCAACATATAAATACATATAATAATGAAAATAATAATAATAACCCTTATTTAAGACTAGCTTTTACCCGCGACTTCATCCACGTGGGATTCTTTTTAATGTACCTTTCTAATGCGATGCAGAGTGCTAGTATGGCTTTCTAATATACTGTCTAGATTCTAAAATTCTCTTCTTCAGTTCACTTCGGTATAAATAGTAAAAAATTGTCTGCATGATCCCCGTTGATGGAATTTCAAGTCCTTTTCTAGTGGGTATCTATATCATTATAGAAATGCGCTATCAAAATTTCAACCCTTTAGATCCAACGGTTTGGTCTGTGTATTGTCTGTCAGTCATTCACACACAGTTTTATATAGATAGGGATGGAATTTCAAAAAATCCTTTCTTAACAACCATCCATGTCATAGAAATGCACAATCAAATTTTCGGCCCTTTAGATTCTTTGGTCTGTGCTTTGTCTGACAGCCATGGAACTATTTTTTATATACCTATAAAGTAATAGATAAATAAATAGATAATATGGTAGAATTTCAAAAAATCCTTTCTTAGCGGCTATCCATGTCAGAAATGCATGGTCAAATTTTCGGCCCTTCAGATTCTTTGGTCTGTGCATTGTCTGACAGTCATGGAACTATTTTTTATATACCTATAAAGTAATAGATAAATAAATAGATAATAGGGTAGAATTTCAAAAAATCCTTTCTTAGCGGCTATCCATGTCATAGAAATGCACGGTCAAATTTTCAGCCCTTCAGATTCTTTGGTCTGTGCATGTCTGACAGTCAGTCATGGAACTATTTTTTTTATATAACATAATAGATAAATAAATAGATAATATGATAAAGTAAAATTTCTAAAAATCCTTTCTTAGTGGCTATCCATGACATAGAAATGCACAGTCAAATTTTCAGCCCTTTAGATTCTTTGGTCTGTGCATTGTCTGACAGTCACGGAACTATTTTTTATATCCATATACAGTAATAGATAATATGGTAGAATTTCAAAAAATCCTTTCTTAGCAGCTATTCATCTCATAGAAATGCACGGTCAAATTTTCAGCCCTTTCAGCGGTCCTAATTGCTTAATACTAAAGTCAACTATAATTCACTACTGGGACGCAGTTCAGGGATTATCGAAACAATAACAACGATTAAAATAATATTTTGAATTGGAAAAGATTGACAAAATTAAATAAGGAACTTGTTACTTTGTTTCCACTTTCATTTGGATCAATTATTTATCTGGCAGTAAAGGTGGGAATATTTTATTACATCAAAACTTTCTAGTTTTAGTTCAGTATTCATCTCATAGAAATGCATGGATTCTATGGTCTGTGCATTGTCTGGGAATTTCAAAAAACCCTTTCTTCCCTTCTTAGCTGCTATCCATGTCCTTATAGTAATGCATTATATATGGAGGATCTGACTCATAGAATAAGGGGGTCATTGTCGCCCGATTAAGAATAGGCCTTGGAAGTTTGAATAGGCATGAAATCTTCTGGCCAATTGTTGTAAATCCATCTTCATTCAAATCAACAGTGCAAAACATAAATCTTTGTCATGATTGAATCATCAGTCTTTCATCAAGGTGCTAGTCACAAACTGATTCTGATTCTGAAAATTAATAATTTTCTTTTTTTTTTATTAATAATTCAATTGTAGATTCGGTACAAACTTTCTGGCGTAAAAAAGTCACAATGAGTACATACATATAAAAGTTCATAATAATTACAACAAACAACATTTTACAACTTTAACATTGACTTTTTTTTTAGCAAATACTGAATTTTAAATTGCCTCTCCTGAAGTATTAGCATTTTTTTGTATAAAGTTCTTTAATTTATTTCCCTTTCATACAAAAATCAGGTACATAATACAAAAGTACAGTATGACATGGATAACAATCAGTCTATTGCGGGCTTACCTGGAATGAATAATAAAAGTGTAAAACATAAATAAAATGAAAAATACTAATTATTACTACCTATCCTATTGAATAGTTACATATGAGTATGACACAATTATAACATTTAATTGAATGTAAACAGAATTTAACATTCTTTAGTCAGAAAGGAAATAACTTTATTTTTTATCTCGAGCCACTCTATTCCACAGTTGGAGACCACCAAAAACATTACGAATAGAGTGGATCAAGATAAAAAATAAATTTTAATAACAAATTATAGAATAGAATATCAATATTATCAATATAAGATAATATAGTGTTTTTTTCTCTTTCTTTGAAAAATTATCACCAATTAAAGTGTTGAATCAACGGAGCATCACGTGCTTAGCATACAAAGGATTTACATTTTTTTTTTCATTCAGGATCTGGATAAACGAAACACAAGAAAGGCTGGGGAGACCTAGATGCAGAAAACAATATTTCTATAAAATTGAGCACTCAGCCACAAAGGGTACAAAGTATATGAATATTTGTTCGCAACACATTTTTTAGAAATTATCGTAGCTCAGAGAGGTGTAAAAGGTTTGCTTGCCAATCCAGGCAATTGAAGAAACAAACCGAATGGTCCAAATCCTTTTAAAGGAAGAAACAGGTGGACAGGGAGGCTTTCGTTAAGCAACTCTCACGATGAACTTCCCCAATTCGACTTAGAAAGATTTCAGATAGTCCTGGCCAGTAATTTATATTTTCATTTGGAAACATGAAAGCACAATTATAATCATGAGACGTGTTCTATTTTAAAAACCAATAGCAATTCGTGTTTATCACTGCTGTAGCTGTAATTTTTGATAGAGGCGAGAATACCATGCCATGCATTTGAAAAAATGAGAAGTGGAGCTTTAATGTAAAAATAAATAGTAGTAGTAAAATACTAAATAAATAGCAGTAAAAAAAATCTGAACTTTGATCACCTCATATCCCTGAAACCCCCAGATCTGGTAAGTATACTCAACATGGAACGACAAACACTGTTAGATACTTTGAACTTTGCCGAAAGCTGAGCCAGGTCCTGGGTGAACAGTCATTCCAAACCCTATTTACTACAAACTACAATAAGTGTTGCTTTACTTTGTAGAAGATCAATAAAAGACAATTTTGATGACAGATTGACCCCTAGGTATTTGTAGTTATTTATGATGTGACACAGCTTGCCTACCACATCTCTAAAAATTAAAATATTAGGTTTATCCAGGTTTACGGTTAAGTTCCATTGGTTACAAAAAGCTTCTAATAGGTTAATTATGTGTGATTTTGTGTTTTGATAATTTTCTGGGATAAAAACGTCACAATGAGTACATACAAATAAAAGATCAAAATAATTCCAACAAAGGAAACATTTTACAACTTTAACATGACATTTTTTAAAAGCAAACATTGAATTTTAAATTGACTAAGGTTATGGAACACATAGTGGAGAAAGTGAAAAAGGTAAAAGTCTATAAATATTCTTATATATTAAAAAATAAATAAAAATATATTTTGAATAGTTGTACAGGTATTATAAAAGATGAATGAGAGTATCATAAAACTTGGTGTTTTTGCCACTTTGTGGACTGTGTTAAAATGTACATCACTTTCGTTATGGTATCGTTCAATTTTGACTAAATTATCTACAATTTCTGTTTACATTCCAGCACTTAACCTCAGTAAAATAAATTGTGAGATGAACCTAGTTTTAAGTTTAAAAATCTCATGAAATACATACTTAACAAATTTTGACACATCATAATAAAGCCATGTTTGGTTATGTCAGACACGTTTTGTCATTTCACATTTTCAGTGTGCCTCTTAATACAATAATTATGTTTGTTTAATTTTGAAGCAAAGGTACCCTAATTTTTGGTAAACTATGCTCCTCACATGAAAATAAGACCAAATTACTGCTTTGCCATGTACTGTCCAACATGGCTTTATTATTGCAAATGTAAGTCTAGGCAGACTGCTTCAAACAATATTTTGAAAATAATAATCCAGTTGTTCTTCTATCCCAGATCATTGGCACATATTGATGCTTATCTTCATTTCAAAATATGTCTCATTTCTAAGTCTGTTTTGTTGGGCAATCGTCGTGCCATATTGACAACACACTGAACAAATTTCTCTTCTTAATCAAAGGTAAACACTGGAATATTATAACAAGTTACCATTACAATAAACAAAAAGCTCTGACTTTATATATGTATATATAATTTTTTTTATAGACAGTCCATCGCCATTCGTGATATTTTCTTCTGTAATCTGTGGATGTCAATTGAAATTCTGAAATTTAGCTTTCCTTTAACTTTTAAAACTCTTAAATCATACATATCAAAATTATGAAATAATATTCTGTACGATTGTCATCCCTGATTAGTTTTTCCAAGCATAGCAAGAGAAAATTTACATATTCTAAGTAAAAACTTTTCTACATTTGCCAATAATTATTACATCGAGAAAAAATAATGATTTTTTTCTAATTGTTTTACTTCTATGACAAACAAAAATAATTCAGGAAATAATCTCTCTTTTATTTGTCTAGAAATAATATTTAACAAGTCATTCATAGCTCAACTTTTGTATCAATAACTCAGCTGGCAAAAAGTAATAATTTGTTAAATCACTATCTCCAGAATGTTCTGATTCCAATGAAGACTCCTTGATCAATTCTTTACCTTGGATTAGATCATTTTCATCATAGTCGGGCTCGTTATCGATTTCGCTTTCGACTTTCGCCTTTTTGGATACTTCGAGATAAAAGAAAAAATCGTCCATAGTCATATCTTTATACTGCATGTACAACCAGGCGCCAAGCATAAGTGCATACAATAAAACCAGATGTACAACAGTCAAACCGAGCAGACCGTTTTTGTAAGGCTGAGGCATTGTCGTTATGGCCTAGAATTGAAAAACCAATCGTTTTAGTTATTTAAAATTTAAATTGAATTAACTATGATTTCAGAGACTGTCGAATATTACCATCATCACTCGAGAGTAGTGGTATTCCCAAGTCATTTTTCACTTAGATTTAATTTTTTGCCTGCATAAATCAAAAATATTTTGTAAAATATATATTTTTTTAGAAGTGAATTTGTTGATAATTTAAAAAATCATATGATAATACTTGATTTAATACATCATAGTATTAATATTATTTATGACAATGATAACCAGTCAAATAAAAGCAACACACAATGAAACTGCTAATAAAATTACCGATCTTTTAAGATAAGATTTAAGGCAATAGCTCCCTAACTTAAAAAAATATTAATCGCTGTAAAAAGTGTTAATAACAATAACTATAAGAAATCTAATCATTTAAAAGTTTGACCAAATTCAATTTAAAAAAAATAAGATGTACACCAAACTTGCATGTTTAAACTCTAAGGATAAAAAGGTGATGGTATTGGGTATTTTTTAAAATAAATTAGTACAAGGCCATACCAACAAGTTATCTCATTTGGGCTTGTATCTCCCCAGGCACAGTAACAAGTTATTTTGTTGGGCTTGTATGCTTCCAGGCTCAGGGATGAGTTATCTCGTAGGTCTTGTATGCTCACCTGGCCCAGTGACAAATTATCTCATCCCAGCATGTATGCTTGCATGCCTAGTGACAGGTTATTTCATTTAGGCTTGTATGCACCCCATGCCAGTGAAGAGATGGGCTTGTATCTCCCCAAGCACAGTGACAAGTTATTTTGTTTTGGCTTGTATGCTCCCAGGATCAGGGGCAAGTTATGAGGTCTTGTATGCTCACCTGGCCCAGTGACAAATTGTCTCGTCCCAGCTTGTATGCTTGCAAGCCAAATGACATGTTATTTTATTTGGGCTTGTATGCACCCCATCCCAGTGAAGAGATATATCATTCGAGGTTGTATGCTCTCATCTTGGCTTGTACACTCCCGAAGCCTAGTGACTAGTTATCTTGTTTAGGCTTGTACGTACCCCAGACTTAGTGATGAGATACCTCATTCGGGCTTGCATGTTCTCCAGGCTTGTCTCGTTTCAGCTTGTACGCTTCCAAAGCCCAGTGATAAGTTATTTCATTTGGGCTTGTACGCTCTCCAGGCTTGTCTCGTTTCAGCTTGTAGACTCTCCAAGCCTTGTGACAAATTATCTTGTATGCTTGTGTTTATCTCAGGTGTGCTTGTAAACATAATTTATTTATCATTAAAAATTGTAAATTCCAAAATGTATATGGGAGTAGCTGAATGGAGTTGTTTAACAAACTGATTTTTAAGTGAGATACTTATGTGGTCAGTAGGCTGGAGGATGTCAGACAATTTGCCCAGAGGTCTTCTATTTATAAAAGAGCTGAACTCAGTTTTGTGGTGTAAAGTTTTTCAAATTGAAAACCCACTTTTCTTAAGAAACATTGCACACTTATGGAAAATAATATCAAAAGATAGAATTTTTTCCGACAGTCAGGCAAGTCTTAGGTCGGGGACCGCGGTAGCCGAGTGGTTAGCATGAGAGACTCTCAAGCCGCAGACGTGGGTTCAATTCCCACCGTTGCCCCTGGCCCTTTTTTCCCAATAACCCCCCAAATTTGAACACACATATACGAATTTGTCACATGGCTAATATGCATAGTTCATAACGCCAAAAAAAAAAAAAAAAAAAAAGTCTTAGGTCATTACAAAAAGATTTGTCAATATCTAGACTGGTGGAGGAAACTGTTGAACTTATCAATAGAATCACTTCCAGATAGGAGAATAGGGTAACTCTTAATTGGATACCAGCTCATAAGGGACACTATGGCAATGAAGAGGCGGATAGCCTGGCCAAAGAAAGCTTTAATATTGCGTTTGTCCGGCCACAACCGGTATTACCTCACTCTATAAGCACAGCGAAAGAGAGTATCAATTACTGGGGTATGAAACAATTCCTTAAAGAATGGAATCTGTCCCCAAGACACAGGCAATCGAAAGAGTTTGTTAAGGAGATCAAACCGGCAGAATCGAAATGGCTATTCTCTAACTCAAGACGGGGAATTAGGAGGCTGATAGGTATCCTAACGGGCCATTGCCCACTGAGAAGACACCTCTTCGTAATGGGTATTCTACCAGACCCCTTTTGCCATTTTTGTGAAATAAAAGAAGAATCGGCACGGCACTACCTCACAGAATGTCATAGATATGTTAGGCATAGATTCAAAACTTTTGAAGGAGAGGACATCACAAATTCACTCCCCGAGATAAAATGGTCCAAAATCTTGGGGTTTGTGAACAAGTACAAGAGGTTTATGCAGGACACGTGTGCCGACCAAGTCCCGGACCTTTTTAGGGATGGGGTACGAGTCTACCCAGGCATTTAACCCCTCGGGTCTTGGTCGCCCACCCTGCATAATATATATATATATATATATAAGAAACATTGCATTTTTCCATTATATATCAATGAAACAATTTATTCCTCCCTCTTCCGGGGGTCCTTTTCTCCCTTTAGCGGCAAATCCATTCACCACCCTGTAGCTCAAACTGCCTGGCGATAGGATTTGTGTTTGAGAGGGATTTTAAGAAGAGAGGAATGAATTTTGAATAATAGAATCTATTTTATATTAAAACTCCCATACTTAAAATAAAAAGCTTATTTCCTTACAAAAGATTTATATAAAACATACATGCCTTCTACAGCATTACTCAACTTTCATTAAATAAATAGCAAAAATACTACTATTTTTATCTTTAATAAATAGTTATACAAAATTAGGAAATCCTTGGTCAATTATTGTAGATTACAAATAATTATTTATAGGTTAATGGTTAAAATGGTAAAATGGTTAATTCAGAGACAGGTTGTCCATTAGTGCTGGAAATTGACTGACTGATGGCAAAATAGACAATTTACGTTTAATCCTTTTTTTGGCACAATACAAGTTATCTGGGATTATGGATTGTCAAAAGTAACAACTCTTTTTTTATCAGTAATAATATTCAATTATTCTGTACATTATGCGTATATTATTATTATTATGTATATTTTTTTTATAATCAAATTGTTTTCTTCTTCTTTTTAAAGAAACATTGAATCTTGGTTCATGGCTCTTTTTTCCAATTGAACAGAAACAAAGATTCAATTTTGTAATGTTTAGCCAGTTATAAATTAAAAAGTTAAACGTTTAACAAGGCGTAAGGATGATGAAATGCCTGTTTTAATTGACACAAGAGAGCTATGTCTATTAGACGGTTTGGACTCTTTATCATCGCGGTCCTAATTGCTTAATACTAAAGTCAATTATAATTCACTACTGGGACGCAGTTCAGGGATTATCAAAACAATAACAACGATTAAAATAATGTTTTGAATTGGAAAATATTGAAAAAATGAAATAAGGAACTGCAAGACATGTACTTTAAGTGTCTCCGATCCTTCTTTAATATTCTCATTTGTGCTTGTAAAATTAATTTAAGATTTACCGTTCTGCTTTCTGACACAATTAAGATTTTGGTCATCTGCCCCTTGTTATTGTATAAATTAAGACATTTTTAAATTTGTGACAAACTTGAAATTGTCTTCTTAAAACAACACACAGACTATTGAAGATGATAAAATGCTGAAATGCACTGCAAATGTGATAAATGAATGATGTTTATGTAAGAATGATCGGAAACTGAAAACTAAAGGTGAAAAATTATATTACAAAAAAAATATTTCATCTAACCCCTAGTAAGAGTAAAATAGCTTAAATGCTTAAATTATAAGCAAATCAATTTTTAATGTATATTTAAACGCAAGCAATTTAATTAATAGATTTGTCTGAAATGCCCGTTGAAATTGATCAATTTTGACTGTTTTGATCGATTTTCTTCTCCCTTGAATATTTTTATTCTAACAGATCTCATACAAAGTGAAATAACGATTTAAAAAAACTTGGCGATGTATAACTTCAATTTAACTCTCAATTTTCTTATATTTAGCAGCGTCCCTTATATGATTGTTAGAATCACCCTAATTATGGAGTTAATTTTTTTTAAATTAATAAATTAGCTAGGAAAGAAATTCCATTTGGTTCTTGAGTACTAAAATTCACACAGTCTAATATTGACGACCACAAATTTTGTGTTAGTTCTCAAAAATTTTCCTTTTGGTTGGTCAATTGATTGAGCAAAAATATAAATCTAGTATAAAATATATGACTACAAATAAAAATAAATAAGATAATGGATGTTGCCTGAGAATTATTTTATATTTTATGTTTTATAGATGTTATTGTTAAGTGATATGTTTTAATTTATTTGCTGCTAGTTCAAATACTGGCATAATTTTTATTTTTATTTTCCCCCAGGTGAATTGATAAATGGTTTCTAAACTTAAATTGTTAAAAACAAACTACAACAAATATATATTTTGTTGTACTTTTGCACAAAAATGATTTGTAAATACCAGTATTACGGCGGTTGAGGGTCGAGATACTGTATCAACCGAAATAAGCCAGGTTTTTCATTTTTTGTACCATTTGTAATTGAGAAAGGTGCAATTTTTCAGGGGTAAATCTTCAAGCTGAATTTCTGCGTTAAAATTCATTTTATAAACAACTAAGTAGTCTTGGTAGTATGAGAGAGCTGATGATGGAATATTGAGTACCCACAAACCCCTGATTAGATCAGTTATGTAAAAAAAGATTACCACACTATTTGAGTGAATGGTATGTAAATAGTAAGGAATGCATTAAGAAGGAGTGAGAGTGTATCTACTTTTAAAAACTATTTGTGCAGGGGCGAAATGATTCAGCTTTTTTTGACCCATACTGCCAAAACCCAAAATGGGTTGTTCTCATGGCTTGCCGCAAGAAGTCATATTCAGTGTAATGAAACAATTAATCATTAGCTGTTTAAAAAATATTGTCAAAAATGGACTGCTGATTACAAAATAACTTCATATAGTCATATAATTCACTGTCAGATGATTTTTCGGTCTTACTGCATCTGTTGCTGATAATTTTTAATTAAACTAGGATTATTACTGGATTTGAGTTTGTATCCTTTTCACGATGACTACTTGGGGTGTGTATCGACATCCTGGAGTGCAGCATGCATTATTGCATATCATTGGAATAATAATACAACTTATAATTATTCAGAAATCGTGAGATGCGGTCTGGTGTGATGTAGGTTTCAGAAAGACATTTTCT